TTTACGACGACTCGTACGAGCACCGAACCCGGCCAGGATGGCAACCAGGCATGCCAGGCACACTCGGGCTTCGCGGGGAGACCTGACCACGCGCACCGTTGCGACTTACGAACTTGCGCCATTTCCGAGCCCCCATACAACGTTACAAACGACTCTTGAACGACCCTCGACGGCAGGATAGCCATGTCTGCGACCAAACAACCATTCCCCCACGTCCTATCCACCATTATAACCTATTTCACCACATTCCGACGACTCAGAACATCGCGAATCCCTTACGAACACTCGGAAACGGTGCTATTTCGGAATTTCAACACCTCTGAGTGCTCGTGAAGCTCAACGTCCGCGAATATCGGCAGTCTGGGAGCTCAGAAATGCCACGGAAGGTCGAAAGAGGCTCGAGGAGCATGTGGAACGAGGCTGTGGACGCCGACGGGACGGACAACGTGACTGGCTTGGAAAAGGTATAAAAGGTGTCGGACGAATCGAGGGTAGGAGTCAATTACTTGTGGACTTTCGGATTCAGTTCCCAGTCAGCTACCACAAGGAGACAGTTCCAGTCGAGGACTCTAGTCCAACGCTGAGTTCTTTCCCTGACCTTGTACCTTTATCCCCCAATTACATCCTCGAGTTGACCACCAACGCGCTTGCTCGTCACCACCGCCAAGGGACATCGTCTCAAGGATTTGCCTTTCATTTATACACCCGAGAATACTGACTACAGGTTACCGGACACCACCAACATCCCTTCCGAGCGCTCGTAAACCGCCTTCAGCCCATCCCGAGCACTCGGGTCTCGCACACACACACACGCCTTCGACCTTCGACCAACACACACACTCGGATCCAACAAGGCAGACCACCTACAGCCTCACGTTCTATTAGGAACCAACTTTAAAGAGCCCTAGAGGACGAACCAGCCACTTTGTGATCCCACATATTCGCCTAGTGGCACCGCGGTCCTTATCACAGCGTCGCTGTACAGAGCTTTGATTGTATTAATAAATTCCTCTGGAATTCCGTATTTTGCTAGCGTGCGCCATAAGTAATCGTGCTTGATTTTATCGTAGGCCTTCTCCTGGTCCAGCGTGACAATTACTCCATCGCGTTCCGTGGCCTCCGCCAGTTCGATGATCCGTTTGGTTAACCAGACTTGATCTCGTATTTGTCTTCCTGGCACGAAACCCGCCTGGTTCGGGTGGATTAGGTCTGGTGCCACTTGAGCTAGCTTTATGGTGAGAGCTTTTGTGAAGACCTTGTAGTCCGTATTGAGGAGCGATATCGGTCTATAGTTCGCTATATCGGCCTTGTCGTTTTTTTTGTAAAGGGGGCACATCCAGCTCTTGGAGAAGCCTGTGCCTTCTACCATTCCATGGGTTTCAATATTGTTATATACTCGGAGCATGGCCCCGAGTATGTCAAATGCTGGTTTTTCCAGCTTTACCGCCGTCGTGTGCCTCGCGTCTAAGGTCTTCCACACCTCGTAGGTTATCCCATCCAGCCCCGGGGCTTTGAAATTTGCGGATTTCTTGAGTGCGTTCCGCACATCGTCTATGGTTAGTTTGGCCTTGAGCAGGTTCTTCTGCTCCTCGGTCGTTTCGCGTTTCGTGTTTTCCAGGACTTGCTTGATCTTCTCTTCTCGGGTCGCGGTGGGTACGTTGCTCTCGTCCGACTGGATCTTTTCATGGTAATCTTTTGCTAGAGTTGCCATTCTTCTGGAGTCCGTTTCGTATAGTGCCGGGCCTTGCGGGTCCGAGCTTATCTTGAGCCTGTTGATCAGGTCTCGGGGTTTGCTGACTCGGTTTATCCTCGACCAGTACCTGCTGATTATCTCGCCTTCCAGGCGATTTCTCACTTGGGCACTTAGACGGGAGGCGTTATATCTTTTCTTTTGGAGCGCGGTGAGCTTTTCAATTACCATTGCATATGCCAGCTTCTTTTCCTCTACCGGCATCTCCTCGACACTCTTCTCACTTATCTCTTTCAGTTTGTCTTCCTGGTCGGATATTTCCTGTACAATTTTCGGCACTAGAATGTTCGCGCGGTCGCGGGCCTTCTTTCCTATGCTTTTTTTGAATGTTGTCCATAGGGTTTGGGCATTGTGGTCGGGTTTTCTTGCTCCCTCTGTATCCAGTTTCTCAAGTTCAGCTTGTAGCTCTAATCCCTTTTCTAAAATGTGCGCTGCAAGCATTTTGTCCTTTATTAGGTACGCCGGCCACACCCACCTTCCGTGTCCGATTGTGGGCGCTTCATTGGTGGTGATTTTGACCGATACCATTCGGTGGTCGGTTTCGATCCCAACGGTCTGGATTTCCCATTCAAAGGTGTTGTCGAAGTTACCTCGTTTCACGAGAATTCTGTCAATGCGCGATTGTGCACCACCTTGTGCTTCCGACTGGTGGTATGTGTACGCGCACATTGTGGGGTACGTCTCGCGCCATCCGTCGATGAGTCCCAGGTATGACATTAAGTCATCTAGGGCGTTTACCGGGGCATTATTGTCCGTACGTGCTGGCAGTCTGTCAATTGCGTCAGGTACATTGTTCCAGTCTCCCCCGGCGTAGTCCGGTCTCCTACGTCCTGGGCGGTCGACGTAGAACTGCTTAATCGTTTCTAGAAAGGTGGCATTTTCTCCGGGCGCGTTGGGGCCGTATACGCCAAGGATGGAGAGTTCCTCACCGTCAACATTTTTCATATCTATGACCATTGCCCTTCCGGCAACGATTTCCTCCTTCCTTATGTCTGAGGTCTCAACCATATTTTTATTCAGCACTATGGCGACGCCCTTGGCATTGGGGGAGCGCGGGTCTCCCGTAAATTCCAGTCTCAGCTTGCGTCCGAAGAGGCTATCAATGTCGCCTTTACGCTCGTCGTTCATATGGGCTTCCCCTACGATAAGTACACCTATTTTTTCCTCCCGCATGAGCTGCCAGACGCCAAACCACTTATTCTCGGGGTGGTATACATTGGTGTTTCCGTGTCCCTTGATATTCAGGGCCGCAATTTTTATGTGAGCTTTCTTGTTTTTCTTTCCAGGTCCCCCGACGTTCCCGGCCGGGCCAGGGTATATCCTTCCAGGTGGTGGTTCCGGTGGTGGCTGTCTCGGCGCTGGCTGTTGGTTCCGCCTCGCCTCTGCCATCATCGCGTCCCATTCAATTTGCAGCTCTTCGTCTGTCAGCTCCCTTCCGGGCAGGGCATCGTTCGCTCCTTGGTCGTCATTTATGGCCATTGGCTGTCTGCCGGGGTCAACTTGTTCGTTCTGACCTGCGCCATCTGCGCGAGTCTAAAGCTAACTTATCGCTGCGCGATTTTTTGAACTACTCAGGTTACAAACCAACGCGTCGTAGGACCCTCAACTGGAGTCTAGAGCGCCAAGACGTCCAGATGCAAGTCCAGAAGCAACACTATGCATCACCCTTTCTCGCAGCCTGGAATTATCGCACTGCGCAAGACCTCGTCTAGGTATGCACATTCGTACTTGCGCGGTGGTCTGGCACTTCACTGGAGACGTTGTGTAGACACATGAAATATGGCTACCTCAATAATAGGGTGTTTCAGATATGACTTTTTTACCCCAACTTGCACCCCAACTTCTGCCCCAACTTTGGGACAAGTTGGGGCAGAAGTTGGGGCACAAAATCAGGGTTGAAGGTAGACCGGTAACCGTTCTCTCTATGAAGTGGGAAAACGTTCATAGAGAGACCGATCAATCTGAGTTTGAATTCATAGGACGCGCGATCAGTGGCTGTGGCTCACGTTTTTATCACGTTTCGCTTTCCCACATTTACTTTTTCCCTTTACTTTTCGTCGCCTACGTCATCTCTGCACCCGGCCCGCCTACTGAAAAGAGGAAACACGTGAGAAAAGCATGAGAAAAGCATGACTCCTCGCGCGGCCTGCCAATTCAAACTCAGATCGACCGGTCTGTCTATCGACAAACTTGTTTTCATAGGGTCACCGGTCTAGGTTGAAGGTGGAATCGGGCTTAAGACCACGACTTGCTACCCCGATTCTCAACCGATTCTGCCCCAACTTCTGCCCCAACTCGGTACCCCAACTCCGGCTAATCAGTGATTTGGCACATCCATCACATCGCTTCGGTGCCCGATTCTGCCCCAACTCCGGAGTTGGGGCAGAATCTATCAGTGAGGTGTTTCACGATTGAGCCCCCAACTTCTGCCCCAACTTGAGGCAAATTGGGGCAGAGTTGGGGCAGAAGTTGGGGCAAGAGTTGGGGTAAAAAAGTCATATCTGAAACACCCTAATGCTTTGGACTGGGACTAATTTGAAACTCTCCTACAAATAATCAGGGCTGGTGGTTATCAACTTGTGGCACTAGACACTGCCCATGGCCTGACTCCGCCTGCCGAACTGTTCTGTTCGTTTCTTGACCGTTACTTACTTCGATCGATTTAAATGTAACAAAGACTTTACACATCTTTCAGGTTATAGTGTGCTCTCAGAAGTAATTTTGTGCCCGCCTAGCTCAATCGGATAGAGCGTCAGACTTTTACAGAGTCGCTTCGGCGGGTAATTCTTCAATCTGAAGGCTGCGAGTTCGACCCTCGCGGTGGGCTAATAATCTTTTACAGTTTTTTGCACTATTTAATTAACATTTTCCCCGCCTCCCCTATGTAGTTCTACGTAGTTGAGCATAGTTCTACGTAGTTTAGCCCAGTTCTAGTCGTGCACTGTCAAAGGCAAGAGGTGCTCAATCTGGATCAGCTCATAATTCCCATGACCACCCTCCTCGCCGGAAAAGGCAATTCCATCAGTTGCCATCAACTCAGAGTCGCGGGTTTTATTCAACTGGAGCTCAACTGCATGTGTTTTGTCGCCCCGAAATATGACCCAACTTTTCAAAAATAAAATTTACCTTCAGAGTTAACACAAAAGTCGCGGCCATCACCCATTGATCGCATCATCATATGAGTTGATCCAGAGATCAAGCACCTTGGTCGAAGGGCTTACTTTGACGGGGCAAAACTGCAAAGAAGATGTGCCCACCGCAAGATTCGAACTTGCAACATCCAGATAACCCTAATTAAAAGTCTGACGCTCTATCCGATTGAGCTAGGCAGGACATTTTCGGAGCCCAATCCGAAGTGTGTGAGGTTCGGAGGCACTTCGACACTTCAAAAATGCTAGCGCTTTCCCGCACATTTCAATACCGCCGTTCGCATAAGTCCGTGAAACCACAATCATTTTTGCACTCACCTGCTGATGCCGATGATGCCGAAGAGTCTCTCAACGCCGGAGTGCTTTTGGGCCACTGCGGCCGACATTCCGAGCTGTCACCCGACATTGCCGACGACTTGATTTGTCGGCCCATATGCAAAGAAGGCTACTTTGGTTGTTCCAAATCCCGGCGCGGGCCAGAGAAAAAGAATTGGTTTTCACGGAATTATGCAAACGGCCTTAATGCATGGAGCACTTTGAAAGCTAAAAGATGACTAGCCCACCGCGAGGGTCGAACTCGCAGCCTTCAGATAACCCGCCTAATTAAGAGTCTGACGCTCTATCCGATTGAGCTAGGCGGGCATTCAAAGATATCTCTTAGAGTACATTATAACGTTCAAGGTGTACAAAAGTCTTTGTTATATTTAAAGACTCCTTGACGACTCGAGTATGTCAAGATCAGCAGTTAAATCAAAGATAACGGTCGAGAAACGAATGAAATACACAGAACAGTCCGGCAGGCGGAGTCAATCAATCCTGAGCATTGCCTAATGACCACAAGCTGATTATTTGTAGGAGAGATTTCAAACAAGGCATGGAGACAACGAAAATAGGTGCTTGCACTTGTCCCCCATCGTCTGGCATAACAGTAATGACACCAACCAGGTTTCTGTGATTCCCCTTCATCTCCTGGGCCCGTAAACCGACTCCTTCCCGATTTGGACTCAGGCGTAGTGGTGTTTGATAGCGCTTTGTAACCGTCACATGTGACGCGCTCTGTCCGCGACCCGCCTTCAACTCAAACGCGGTCAAAACGCGGTGCTGCATCGCAGCCAAGTACTGAGTACTGACCATATTTGCTAGAGGTCGGAACCTCCTTCGGACCGTCGTTCCCCCAACTCCCTTGGCGCCAATGGATTTGGGATATTTAGAATGCACCCGCCCACACACCGCCAGTCCTCGGTTCATGATGTATCTCTCCCTTTGTGGGCGTTATTGGTGCTCGGCGGGATATATACGTTCTTACGAAATGGGAAAGGCTGAACTTGCTCTCAACGTGAAGACCAATCGCGAATCATTGAGTCTGACGCGTTCAATGCTTTTGCGCAAGACACCATATCTTATCAAGTGTATCTACGCCTCGCAACAACTCTTCAATCAAACGTCCTTGCCAGGCTGGTTGACCCAGATGAAGGTCGTGTTATGAACGTTGGGCACGACGACTTCAAGAGTCGTGGTGTCGTACTGGAAGATTTGGGCAGCTAGTTCGGGTGTTGAGGGCATGAAAAACCACGAGCGAAGCAATACTCACTATACGAGGAACCATTCTGGAAGAACGGATACTGCAGAACGTAGGTCGCAGGGATCTCGTCCATGTCATCCAGGTTAAGGACGACGGGTCCCTCCCATCTGAAGAGAATATCATGGTTAACCTCACCGTTATGCAAAGCGTGGACTGCTCACCCGTCCGAGGTGACTTTCGCAGGCAGGTCAGCGCCTGTTCGAAGGAGACCCAAGCCGAACAAATTGCTCGCAGGGACAATGGAGTCGGAATAGTCAAACGTGATGTTCTGTCCGTTGTGGAGGACCAAGTCGTCGCGAGCCTGGAGGGGGCTGGCGGAAACTATCGAGGCCAACGCGACGACAGTGGCAAGCGAAAGTTTGAACATCTTGGAAAATGAAGGAGATCGGAGTGGGTTGAAGAAGGAAGAAAACGGGAAGAGAACTTGGTAGACCATTCGAAACTGGGAGCATTTTATACTGTTTTCGACCGGGCTACACTGATCTAACCTCACGGCGAGTAGTGACCGTGGTGCAACCGTGGTGTCATCTGGGCGGCGGCGGAGTGTACTCACGACGTAATGCTTCCGAAGAAGCATGAACTTTAACACATGTTGGTAAGGGGACAGTATGGCTCCTCTGAACCCTCCACCTGCACTTGCAGACTCTCAAGTCGGTGTGTGGGAGTTATAGTAAAGCAGTCTTCAAACAAACCGGTACAGGCCAAATTTCCTGTCAAAAACTAAGCAAAAGTTGTGAACACTGAAAAATGAGTTCAAAACCGACGCTCCACACGTCATCCGGAAATACGATCAGGTGATTGATGTTGACGCGTCTGCCGGACAGCACCACACTATAAGACTTCTCCCAAACCACGGTGGCCTCCAGTCGCGTCAAACAATTTCTCTGCCATGTCCTCATTCCAGTATTAGAGATGGGGGATGAAGATGAACGCTTTTCGCAGCTCCACATCGAAAAATACCGGTGCGACTTGTGATAAGACGACTGTGATCTACCGGTTTCAGGACTGCTCTAATGTAATTTCCAAATTTAGGTTGCTGTGACACCAAGTTGGAGCGAGCCGCGATGTGTATCGTGGTGAATGCGGTTGACGAGTAGAATCTTGGTCAGGGTCGTTGTAACTTCGTTCAAGAAGGGATTCGGCTCTTGGCGAGTTTCAGAGGCGGGGACGGTCAGCCGTGGATGCGTCATGCGCCGCGGTACCGCCGGTATTGCAGCGCGGTCCAGGCTCCGAGCTTCGGTAATATTTCCCGGTGCGAGAGATCCCGAGTTGAACTTCAAGCGGCGAAAGCTGACTGGACAGGGGTTGCGTTACATTTGGTATACAAGAATACATACATAAAAAAAGGAAAGCAATATACGACAAAGCCACACACAGATATCAGACTCCAACCCTGCATGAAAATCAGCAAGCAAATATGGTGCACGGCTACTTTGACAAACCGATGAACCACTTTTTTCTGGTCGCACACGACGGTCAGTAACTTCCGGATGTGCTAGACACAGACGACCCACCTGTCCCGTGAACCGAATTATCTCGCTCTTCTCCATAACGAACAAGGTCCGCTCGAGTGCATGGCTCGAATATCCCTGCTGGGTGACAAATTCCCGGACGAGACTCTGATAGCTTGTACTCCACCCGACAGGAAGTCTTCTCCGCATTTCCCGTTCGATTTTGACCATCTCTTCGTTCAATTCGCCTCGAGAGAGCCCATCGGCAGAACCAGCGGAGACTGCGTCCATTGTGGAGAACTTGAACAGCCGAATCGCTTCTTCGACATGGTGATTCTGGACGACGGTGGAGAGAGTCATTTTCGCCAGTGATTCCGATATACGAATGATAGCTTCAAGCTGTCTATAAGCATAGGTTTAATCACTGGGAAGGATTGACAAGGTCGAAACAGCTCACCGCACGGTGATCGGAATCGAACTCCGTTCATCGTTATCTCGCTCTACTTGTTGGACCTGCTTGCGCAAACTAACAAAGTGACTGCTCAACATCTCCTGGGCCTCGGGCGATAACCGCGGAGCGCATTTGCTAGATAACCGATGTTAGTGAATAACCAACGTCCACCAAAATATAGATACCTCTTGCAATACGCGATGTACCGCTTCATCACATCGAGACTAAGTTCGTCTACAGCCTTGTCGACGTTGTCCTCGGGTCGATTCATCTGCACGTTCATAACGTGTCTAGCGATCATCTGGGGAAAGGATTTGAACTGGGCAGTCTTTGAACAAATGAAATTAACGCACCTTGTCCCGTTGTTCGTTATGTTCATCCTTGACGATGAAGATCATGTCGAACCGCGACAAGATGGTCGTCTGGAAGTCAATATTCTACAACACTCATCTCAGTAGATGGACGGATGATAAAACCAACAACGCACCTCGCCAGGACTTCTACCTTCGTCGTATCGGCCGAAAACGGGATTCGCGGCTGCGAGCACACTGGTCCGAGAGTTTAACACGGTCGTGATGCCAGCCTTGGCAATAGATATCGTCTGCTGCTCCATGGCTTCGTGGATCGCGACGCGATCCTCGTCACGCATCTTGTCAAATTCGTCGATACAAACCACACCAGTGTCAGCCAAGACCATGGCGCCTCCCTCGAGATAGAACTCGCGCTACAAACCCGTCAGAGCGCGCAGATAAGAGGAATGTGCGTTTGGCTTACAGACACGGTGTCTCGTTGCACAGAAGCAGTGAGACCGGCAGCACTCGAACCTTTCCCAGACGTATAGACGGCAATGGGCGCGACCTGATAGTGGGTGTTAGGGCGTGTCAAACGAAAACAAATCAGTAATCACCTTCTCGACAAACTTGAGCAGTTGACTTTTCGCCGTTCCCGGGTCACCCAAGAGTAGAACGTTGATGTCTCCTCGAAGCCTCATGCCATCGGGAAGAATCTTCTTCGATCCGCCGAAAAGGAGACAGGTAATGGCCTTTTTAATATCTTGTTCGTCTTAGTATTATGAGCGATATGAAGTTGAAGAAAACTCACCAAGACTGCCGTAGATACTTGGGCCGACACTTTTAGAAAACCGTTCATAGAACCCTTCGCTCCGTGCCATTACTCCAAACTCCTCCTCTTCTTCAGGCGTGAATTGGACACCGAAAGGGTTGGACCCAGAACCACTTGATGGTCCCGAAGATAACTCGAGGTGGACTACCCGAAGATATGGCTGACGAAGAGCCGCGGCACCGGCATTTTTCTGAGGGTCGACGTCAGCAATCGCGAGTAAAAAAAAATTATGAGAAACGCCGCACGTTTTTGCCCGACTGAAACGTTGAGTATATGCCGGTAGCAACGACTCTTGAGCCGGGAACTACTTTCCCAGTCAAATGTCTGTCGACCGAGAGCAGCATATGTCTGGGCAACTCTCCGACCGGCACCATGTCCGGAGCCTCTTGGAGCTTAAGAGTTTGTTGATCAGCGAAGGTGGATTTCGAGTGGATGATGAGGAAGGGGTCGATCGGGCAGTCGTTCTTTCCCCCTCCGGGCCCAGGCGCGTCGCAGAAACGCGGTAGCCCTCGGTCGGAACCACCACCAACTCCACCCATGCCACCGGGGGGAGATATCTCCTTGATGTTTCGACAGGA